AAAAAAAAAAAAAAGAGGATCCATTTTATCTCACCAATGATAAATTATCCAGGAAATTCCAGTTGTTAACATCATCCTTATTGTCCCCACATTCCATCAACATGTCCTAGAAATTCCCTTGTTTCTATAATTTTAATTGAAAATAATTAAAATTTTAAGCACTTCAAGAAACACATGTAGACTGAGGTTTGGCTCATGTAGAAGATACTTGATGATTAAGTGTGAGAGCCTGAGCTCCCCAGTACTGCCAAAAAAGAAAAAAGAAGAAAGGAAAGGGACACAAATCACACATATATAATATTTTGTTAAGTATAACATCATTATCTAGAAACATCTTACTATCACAGGGCAGTGTGGACAGTATCTACTGTCTTATATACGCATGTGATATACATTGTCCATGCCCTTGTCCACATGGTGTGGACAGAGGAGCCCATCTGAGGGGTGTGTCTGCAAAAAGAACCTTTCCAGGTACTGCTTTGTATTATTGCTCCCATTGTAACTTGAAATTTTTAGGACTGCATTTGCAATAATAATTGAGACTAACTTTTTACGGGCTCAGAATAATATGAGTAAAACCCATATCCTAAGGAAAGGAGCATTGCTTAAGCTATAAAGTTTGACTACTTCACATGATCAATTTAAAAAATATATCACAAAACAATATAAAAGGCTTTGTCACATAAGGCATTCCAGGTTTGCTTTCAAAAACTTAGGTTCCCATTAATCTCCGCATACACACACTGGGAAAGCACTTTGTCAATGTGTGGGTAAAGTTGGACTTAATGATTTCCTGGTTAAATTATTACTAGATATTCCACAAAGGTAATTTCTTTTCCTTTCTCCCCCGCCCTAAAAACTAACAGGTATTCTCCAGTGTGATTCGGGAACAATAAGGGAAGAATTACAAATATTCAGACTCTTTTGCCATGAATGCCAAAGAGTATTCCATGACCGTTTGATTAATAATGAAGACAAGCACTATTTCCATGTTATCTTGACAGAAATGGCCAGTAAATATCAATCTTTATTTACAGTATTTATATTTGTTTCCTTTAGTAGCTCAGGTTTATAATATTTTTAAATTGTGGCAGTTATTTTCCTGAAATGTAAGAAGGTTTAATTTTTTTTAATTCATGATAGGTTTTTAAGTAGAACAGAGAAAATAGTCTGTGCCAGTGGCTCACATCTGTAATCCTACCTACTCAAGAGACTCAGACCTAAGGATCACATTTCAAAGCCAGCCCAAGCTGGAAAGTCCTTGACACTCTTATCTCCAATTAACCAACAAACCAACAACAACAACAAAAAAAAAATAAAACTAACAAAGAGCCAGAAGTGGAGCTATAGTTAAAATGGTAGAGTGCTAGCCTTGAGCCAAAAAGCTCAGACAATGAATGCCCAGGCCCCAGAGTTCAAGCCACGGGGTTAGCATATGAGAGAGTGAAACAGAGAGAGAGAGAAGTAGAGAGAGAAGAGAGGGGAGAAGGGAGAGAAAGAGAGAAAAACGAACATCTTATCTGATTGAAAATCAAGATAACAGTATTTTCACAATAAAAAGAAAAGATAATTAGGACAATCTAATCCAGTATTTACCTTGTCACAAAGGTTTTCAATATTTGTTATCTATTCTTCATCTTAAATCTGGAAAATTACCAACCAAACTCACATGGCATGACGTAAACATGGCCTTTACTCAATTTTCACTTTTAGCAATTAGGGCTTTAGCAAAGTAGCTGCTGACATTTTCTGCATATCTTATTGAAAAGCTGAATTCTAGCTTATCATTATACCAAACTTTTTTTTATATTTGAACAGACAAACATTTTGGAATTTCAATTGAGATAGACTATTTTTTAACCAAGCCCATCATCTTTGGAGATTTCATTAAGGTAAGTGTACTGTATTGCTGTCACTGTATTTGAAGATTATAAAGCATTTACTAATGTCTGAACCACTTGTTTTGCTGCTGTTGTGGTTGTTGGCAGTACTGTGGGTTGAGCTCAGGGTGTCAGGCTTGCTAGGCAAGTGTTCTACCCTTTGAGCCACACCTCCAGTTAAAACATTATTTTCTGCTTCAAGTCCATCTTCTACAAGAACTTTCCATTTGTTAAGATTAAATGCCTGGACTAGGTATAGGCAGATTGTTGCCCCATGAGCCCATCAACCTACAGTGGATTATACAATTATACAACAATTTTGTCAGGGCACAGGTACACTCACCATTTGCTTTTGCCCTACAACACCAGAGTAACAGACAAAGACTGGGTATCCTGCAAAGACTAATGTGTGTGTGTGTGTGTGTGTGTGTGTGTGTGTGTGTGTGTGTGTGTGTGTGTCTGTGTCTGTGTCTGTGTACATATATATAAATAATAGACAGAGAGAGAACAGAAAGAGACGGAGAACTGAGGTTTATTTAAACTCAGGGCTTAACATGTGCTAGGCAGGCTCTCTACCAATGAACCATACCTCCAGTCCTTTTTTATTGGTTATTTTTGAAATAAGGTCTTGCTTTCTACCCTAGGTGTGTATCTAACCAAGAACTGCTTATTTTAAGCCTCCATTACTAGCTGGTATGACAGAGACACACCACCACACCAAACATCTTTCCACCAAGATAGAGCCTCAGAAACTTTTCTTCCAGGGGTGGCATGGAACCAGGATTCTCTCAATCCCACCCTCTCAAGTACCTAGAATTACAGGTGTGATCTGCCAGCTCCCAGCTCCTTTATTTTCTTTATAAACTTCTCAAATCAGTCCTTCACATAATATCTACACTCTTTTGCATCCTGGACCTGCACTGGAATACATCTTCCATTTAACCCCACATTCTTTTTCTAGGTACATATTCTCCATGTTTCCAAGCAAGCAGGACAGTATTGTTTTTGTTCACCCTAAGCCCCTAGATTCCCTGTCAGAGCTAGGTGCATAACAGGCTCCCACTTAGTGCTGATTTAGTGACCAATGAACTCATCTTCGTATCAGATGTATGCACTGTGAAATTTTCCTTCAGATGACTATTACCACCTTACAGAAGAAAAGATAAATAATAATGTGTGACATAGATCTATTTTAACTTATCATTAAAAATTATGTTTGGGGTTTGTTTTCAAAGATTACATTTCTTATGTGGTTTTGGTGATGGTATCATCAAATGAAGAATAATTAAAGGAGAAATGAAGACCGGGACTCTTCTTGGATTGCCTGGGTATTTCAGTCCAAGTCAAAGTGTCTGGGGCACTTGCCATAGCAGAGAAAAGCGATCCCCAATTGATCCAAATGGGAACTCAGTTCCCCTAAGTTTACACCTGATTTTTACTCTCAGCAATTTATTAAACCCTACATGGCTGCTGTATAAAAACTACATATGTTCTAAATGATTGTTTATAACAGTAACAATCCATCTTCGGTTTTTCTAATGTCAGTCACCTAAGAGCAAAAGTATAAAATCAAACTGTGGGGTTATACCAAAAAAAAAAACCCATATTCTTAGCATCCAATGTGACTTCTATTACACAAAGCATTGAAATTACAATGTAGTGCTTGAAGAAGTTAAATGAAATGGGTTTCCCAGACTCTTCGGTCATGTATGTTTATATATGATATCATGGTTCTTCTCTCATCAATCATCTTACAGTTTGGAGCAGAAAAGGAGGATAGAATTTATGATGACTTACCTGATATGGAAAAAATCTCAAGTGTTCTACAGGACTACCTTGATGATTACAATCTGACAAACCCTAAAGAAGTAAAGTTGGTGTTTTTCCAGGATGCCATAGAACATGTTTCAAGGTAGAGTATTAAAAGATACCTAGTTATGCATTGCTTTTATTCAGTTTCCTTCTTTGTGCCAGTAGTGGGGTGTGAACTCAGGGCTTTGTGCTCTGTTGTGGCTTTTTCCTCTCAAGGCTGGTGCTTTATCATATAAGCCACAGCTCTATTTCCGTCTTTTTGTTGGTTAATTGAAGAAAATGGAGAGTCTCACGGATTTTCTGCCCGGAAAGGTTTAACCTGCATTTTTCAAATTTCGGTCTCCTGAGAAGCTAGTATTGCAAACATGAGTCACCAGCACCCAGTTTTAATTTCTTGTGCATTAAAAAATTAAAAAAATTAAGTGGTATAAACTCTTTAAATAAGTTGCTGATTGAACAAGGGTCTTTTAACAATTGTCAGAGTAATACAAAAGGTTTTTTTGGTGGTGGTATTGGTCATGGGGCTTGAACTCTGGGCCTGGATACTGTCCCTGAGCTTTTTTGCTCAAGGCTAGCACTCTACCATTTTGAGCCATAGCACCACTTCTGATTTTCTAGTGACTAATTGGAGATAAAAGTCTCACAGACTTTCCTACCTGGGCTAGCTTCGAACTGCAATCCTCAGATCTCAGCCTCTTGAATTGCTAAGATTATAGACATGAGCCACCAGCAACAAGTACCAAAAGATATTTTAATATATTTTAAATATATATGGCAAGAAATTTCTTTTGAACCCCAGGTATTATTATTGTCGCTAAGTATCGCTGGATTGTTTTGTTCATTTTTATATGCTCTCTCTTTTTACAAAAAGAATCTGAATTGGGTTACACTGATACATATACAGTACAACAAGGCTAACTGCATGCATGTGGAAAGTAAAGATTCCAGACTATAGCAAAACAAGTTGAAGTCAGGAACCAGTGGCTCACATCTGTAATCCTAGGTACTCAGAATTCTGAGATCCAGCATAAACAAAATAGTTTGTAAGACTCCATCTCCAAATTAACCAACAAAAAGTTAGTCTGAAAGTGTGACTTAAATGTAGAGCACCAGCTGAGCCAACAAACTAAGCAAGCATGAAGCCCTGAGTTCAAGCTCTGCTTATGAGTCTGAAATAATAGATCCCATTTGCTTCTAAGTGTGATTCCTGCCTATTGCAAGTACCTATTGAGAGACATCCTGATATGTCCAGCATGAGTATCTACAGCCCTTGGGACACAAACCACTTTAGGAAGTGGCTTGGGTCCTGTTGGACAATTCTGAGGGTTGAAATGATGCTCATGGGGTGAGCCAACACCTGCTTCTCAAGACTTCTGGTACCTATCTATCCTTAACATTGATAGTAATGCCATTCAATGTGCATATAAAGCCACAGTGTAGAGCATCTCACTTAATGTCACATGTGAAAATACGGATCCAAGTGGTAGAGTACCAGCATTAATAAATGAGAGAGAGAGAGGCCAAGGCACAGAGTACTGGCACAAGAGTCCCACTAGTGTTTAAACAACAACAACAACTGGGAAACCATCATGCCTTCATTGTTTCTTTACATAGGTAAGCAAATTTGTTTATGCATTCTTATTTCTACACTTTTCTTACCCAAAAGTGAGCTAACTAAGCCTGATTCCAGTGGCTCACACCTAGAATCATAGCTATTCAGGAGGCTTAGACCTGAGGATTGTGTTTCAAAGCCAGCTTGGACAAGAAATTCCAAGAAACTTTTACCTCTAACTACCAAAAAGCCAGAAGTGTAGTTGTGGCTCAAGTGGCAGAGTGCCACTTGAATGAAATCCCACATTATCTGTGGGATTCATCTTTCACCAAGGTTTTTTTGGTGGTTGTCATTTAGTAGTCCAATTTTTTCCATCTCTTCAGTTTTTCAAAAATTCTGACTTTTTTTCCTCCTTCATTCTCTTCATTTTGAATACCCAGTCTGGTAGCATGGTTACAGTACTTTTTTTTTTTTTGGTCAGTCGTGGGGCCTGAACTCTGGACCTGGGCACTGTCCCTCAGCTCTTCAGCTCAAGGCTAGTGCTCTACCACTTGAGCCACAGAGCTACTTCCAGTTTTCTGGAGATAAGAGTCTCTCCAACATTTTTCCCTGTCTGGCTTTGAATCATGATCCTCAGATCTCAGCCTCTTGAGTAGCTAGGATTACAGGTATGAGCCACCAGCACCCGGCTTACAGTACTTTATTAAATTCTCACCAACTAGAATCAGAAAGTTTACAAAATGTTCTTGATATCTTGCAGTAATTGTTTCCATTGGTCTCTCCTTCTGAACAGCTGAATCTTTTTCTTGGTTCAAGAAATTTCCTGGGCTGAGTGTTGGTGGCTCACACTTGTAATCCTAGCTGCTCAGGAAGCTGAGATCTGAGGATTGCAGTTCAAGGCCAGCCTGGGTGGGAAAGTCTGTGAGACTCTTACCTCCAATTAACCACCTGAAAACCAGAAGTGGAGCTTGTGGCTCAAAATGATAGAAAGCTAGCCTTGAGCAAAAAAGTTCAAGGACAGAACCCAAGCCCTGTATTCAAGCCCCATGCC